GTGAGGTCGCTGCTGCGCGACGTGTCATCCCTCCGGGAAAACCATTGAGGTTAATTCAGCCAACGGTGATGGGCAAACGATTTGCGCAAAGCACTGAGCGTAATCATCAAATTATGAAGGTTATAGAGGCATACCGGTGTCGAAAACGAGGTGCACCACTGTATATACTTGGAGCTATAATGGAGTCTTAAAATCTTGACGGCGCAAAATGCCCAGTATTCTATCACTTTTAGTTTAGTAACACAACAATGGGGGCACTTGCTGTGATAACGAGCTTAGTAAGTAGCTGGATATTCACGCGACAGAAAAGTCTAAGTGTGGCTACTATAGAATGCAGACGATATGTTCAACTTAACGTAAGTGCACTGCATGCATTAGTACATTTTGCGATAGCTTTTCTTATTAAAGACTGGCCTTTCAAAATGACTATTATTATTGTTTCCCTGCTCAAAAAATGGGCTCCTGATTCTATTATTCCACGAATACTGCCCCGATCAAAGCCACAGGCATAACCAGCATAAAAGTCGAGAACCCAATGAACGTTATCACAGCGAGAATGTCAATTCTATCCTCAGGATGCTTCTTAACAAACGATTGCATGCTTTCGACTTGTTTCGCAGATAGATACGAGGGGGTGGTACCCACAAGGGGCGCAATGTTGCGAAGATCTGGATCCTTTTCTGCCAGTCTCTTCATTTTCTTGATGTCAGCTTCGGATCGTGAACCGGTCTTCACTTTAGGAAGATTTATTATCTTTCCTGATCGAGTTTTTGCTCGAGTGAGATCAAGTTTTTGGCCGGCAGGAACCTGTAACTTGCTGAAAGCATGCTGCGTTTTCAAAGGCTTCATGTGGGGTATCCTTGGCGATTTCTTGAAAAGCGCACTCAGCTTGGAGAGTAATAAGCCTCTTTCTTCACCACCCACGAGATTCTCCGCTCCCGCGGGTTTATTACTGCGGAGGGTTGTTCTCTTCTTCAACTGTCGCTCGGCTGTCGGAAGATTACCATCATCGGCACTCGCAAACTCGCAGACAAGTACAGCGATTATAGACACAAGAGACAGAATAAAAAAAAACTGGCGCATCTCCAACAAAGACGTCTTTCGAACGGAGCTTCTGCACTTAAAGCTAGAAAGTCGAATAGTGGGATATCCGGTGGAGCACCGAACGAAAGAGATCGAGCGTAATTTACGCCGTAAGCGTAAAGGGCTCCAATGCGATGAGGCGGCATCAAAGCTAAAGAACTTGTTCACAATACCGCAATCTAATATGACGAACAGATGTGCGTAACTCAGTTGAAAAAGGTGTTTGTTCGCCTTCACACTTGAAGTCTCAAGATAATTTCATTTTATATATAAACTTTATGGCATAAATGGCAGATTACCAAGCGTTAGGCGTGTGTGTGCTGCTCTCTACTTTCGTATTAGCAAGATCAGGCTCTTGATCGTTTTGGTGTATCGACACAGGCTGAGGCTGAGGGTCAGTCGCCTTCATAAATCGGTGGAAAAACGGAACGACCCCTTCGCGCACAGTTTCCAGTGTGTTGAGAGCCGCAGCCACATTCGCGTTCTCAGAATTGATCCGCGCGCGTAAATACCCCATCAATGGACTCGTGAATCTGTCGGAGTTGGCAGCCACGTCTTTCTTCGAGACGAGATGTTTGAGTGCATGAGTCGCTTGTTCCTTTTGTTCCTCTGTCCCTTTCTCCATCAGCTCAGCCAGTGCTTCGATCGCACCTTCTTCTACTATAGCCTCACGGTTTGTGTCGTTGTCGTAAGCCAGACATCGCAGTGCAAACATTGCCCACTGCTTCTGATCATCATTCCC